AAGTGGAGGAATTAAGATATTGAGAAGGAGAAGAAATGAAAAAAGTGAGAAAGCCGTTTAAAAAAATTCGAGAGACAAAAATTAAAAATCGAAACTGATTAAAAATTGAGAACATAAAAACTGCTGTAAAAAGAGAGAAAGAGAGAGAAAGAGGAGAGAGAGGGAGAGAGAAAGAGAGAGAAAGAGGAGAGAGAGGGAGAGAGAAAGAGAGAAAGTGAGTAAAAGTAAGTGTAAGCGCACATGTATGGCGCGTATTGGATCAGCGTTAGATGGTATTGATGCATTGTTCAAAACAGTCAACGTTATGGCTTCAGAATGCACAAATGCATGGTCTGTGTGTTTGTCTCGCGCTTATGTTTGTCTGTTTGTTTGTCTGTTTGTTTGTCTGTTTGCTTGTTTATCTGCTTGTTTGTTGGTATGTCTGTCTGTCTGTTTGTTTACATTTTGTTGTTATATCCAGATCACGGTGGCAATTGTTATTTTTGACCGTTATATGAGTTTTTCAAGGTTAGGTTGTCATTTTAGAGAAAAAAGATCATGGAATATTAAAACATTATCCAACGATAATCAAAGATGTTTTTAATAAAAAAAAAATACAAAAAATCAAGTAAATGAATAATTAATTGAATGAATTTGAAGAAATAAAATGATTTCATTTTCTGAAAAATAATTTTATTTACACGAGAAAAAATGTTCCACTGATAAATGATCATAACGATGGTTGAAACGTCTAAAATTCTTGACGTGACAAACGTAGCTGGCAATGGAATGATAACGACATCATCATCGTCGTCGTCATCATCATCTTCTTCTTCCTCATCATCATCTTTTTCTTAACCATCATCTTCATCGTCGTCATCTTCTTCACCATCATCTTCATCGTCGTCATCTTCTTCACCATCATCTTCATCGTCGTCATCTTCTTCACCATCATCATCATCGTTATAAACGACACCTTAGTCATTGGTTGACACAAATTCAATCAGCAACTAAATAATAATCATCATCTTCATCGTCGTCGTCTTCGTCATCATTGTCCGTATCAATACCATCACCAACATCATCACCAACATCATCGTCATCATCATCGTCATCATCATCACCAACATCATCGTCATCATCATCACCATCATCATCATCATCATCATCATCATA